GCCTCTTTTAATTCTAAGAACCATTGCTATTCCTCTTCCCTTCAGTAATTTGAATTCCACCATATAAACACTGAGTAAGTAAGTGCTGGGCAGTCTTGGGCACAACTTCAAATCCTCTTGCAAAGGTGTCCTGGAGTTCGTCCTGTGAGTGCCCACTGTGCATGTCTTCCTGACTGTCTTTAGTGACAACATGTTGCTAACTTGAAACTGGCCACAGTGGAGTATTTATATCATGAAAATTGTCAAACACTTCAAATCAGGCCTTCCTCCCCATCTTTGAAAGCTGGTTAAGCATTTATTCACACATATGGCCATCTTGAATTTGCCTTTTGTTTAAGCCCTACTCTCTTGACCACTTACACACAAGCTTCAACAAGTGTTTTATTTCCTGTCCAGACCTCTCTAAACCAGTTCTGGGAGGTGGTTGTGGTGGGGGCAAGGGGTTTAAAGTCCATGTAGCAATCTTTGGTAAAAGGAGTATAGGACCTGGTGGACAAAATATCTCCCATTTTCATCCCTACGTGGGTCAGTTAAGTTTTTTGGTAGTTGTTCTTTTGCATTTTACTGAGCATGTTTTATTGTTCTTTTGGGGTAGAAATGGGAATTGATTTTTCAGGAAGGACAAGCCATCATTTTCTGCTGGAACTAGAGCACGGACTTCCTCTTTGCTGATTCTGTTTGGCCCTATGTAGCTCCTATCTGAAATGCAGAAACCTGGCCTGCCCAGCACCATATAGAAGTGCCAGCCATGGATACCAGAGTTTGGCTCACATTTGATTCTGTATTTGATATCCTTCTGTTTATGGATCCCCAAACCAAAGTTTTCAGTGTCAGAGAATTTATTTTTTCATAACATCTATTCTCATACCTTTCGACATTTGTACAGGATTTCTATTGCCTTGTTCCCCTTGCAGTGGATGACAGCCTTTTCCTTGTTCTTTGATACCAAAGGATCGAAAAGTATATCTATTGTTGGAGAACACAGGATTCTGATCTGGTAGCTGCTTCAGCACCTTGACTGCCTCGGTAGGTCTGTGTCCACTGTCCCTCACACAAACAGTAAGGCAGAGCTGGGGGTGGGAAGTTCCGTCACTGCGTTCTTTTCACCCTCATCTTGCACCATGATGGAAAAACAGGAAGAGCCAAGTGGGACAGTTTTGACATGAATTTCATTAGGCTTCTTAGAAGACAAATGACCCGTCACCAACCCATTCCCAAATAAATGACTTGGTCATAAACTTTAATGGTGAGCTCTGAAGTAAATGGAATCAGATTCTGGAAATATTCCTTGTCTCTAATGAACTCATAAAGATATACAGTAAAGAAATAAGATGTTTTCTACATTCACCAACACCCCCTCCAGAGTTCCTGTTCACATTCACCCCAAATCTCATCTCACCATTTTTAAAAAGATTTATTTATTTGTGCATATAAGAACTGGGGTACAGGCCAGAGGTATGGGGGTGGGGGTTGAGAGAATTCTCCAGAGACAGAGTGGGGAGCACACCAGGCAGAGTGGGGAGCACACCAGGCAGAGTGGGGAGCACACCAGGCAGAGTGGGGAGCACACCACTGCAATGGGCGAGACAGGAGAGGCCTGCTGTGCCATGTGGGTCAGTTCCCTGACCAGGATCAAATTCGTGCTGCGGTGGCTATAGACAGTTTCACAGTGCTGTGCTTTAACCTGTCTCATCACCAGGGAGGGCCTTCCACCATCATTTTTCTTGCAATGGGGTCTTAGTTGAGATCACCCCAGTGTGGTAAACCAAAGTTACAGTCAACAAAAAGCCCCCAAGTTTACACAAATGGGATATGAAGAGTCACACTACTAAAGTATGAGGCAAAGTGTTCCTGTAATGAAAGAGTTTGTTCATGCTGAATAAGCTCAAGCACAGGGCTCACTAATAAAGCTTTTCAGAAAGTACCATTTGCTTCTCAATGATTCAGGGCATAAACCTGAGGTATTTGGTAAACACTCTAGCACTTGGTCTTTTTCACACTTATTTTCCTGGTGAATAATTATAACTATGGGCTAAGTTAAACAATCTATTTATCCTTTAAAGATTCACTTCATTTATTTATGCGTGCAAGAGCTGGGGTGGAGGTCAGAGATGCAGGGGGGTGAGAGGATTCACCAGAGACAGAGTGGTATAGATCCACTGCAACACACTATGGGGAGCAGTGGGAGAGACAGGAGATTTCTGCTGATCATGTGGGTCAGCTCCCTTGGCCAGGAATGGCATTCATATGGCTTTGGGTATCTTCGTCATGCTGAGACTTAACCCCGTGTGCCACCAGGGAGGTCCCTAAATTAAATAATTTTAGAAGCAATTCATCACCTTTGCTACAACATTCTAAGAGAATTATATTTTTTTGATCAAATAATTTTATGATTACTGGATTTTTGAACTACTGTTGTTAAAGGATCATTTTTAAAAAACAGGGTCTAATCATGACTCTCCTACAAATATAAAATATAAATATCCCAAAGGTTGTATTTAACTCAGGAACAAATTATAAGATTGATAAGATATTACAGTTTGTTCAAGGAATAATTCAAAGAAATATATGCATATATTCAATAGTGCTGAAATAAACTTACAAATTGATGCAAAATTGGAATAATACAGCAAGAAAAAACTATTTTGCTATGCATATTTTAAATTTTAGTTACAATTTATAAACCTATGAAAAAGTTCAAAAACAAAGAAAAGCAGACACTTCATAAAATCATATAGCCCAGAGAAATGTATTTAATATAGTCTGCCTATTTTGCCACTGAAATTACCCAATAATTACTTTACCCCCTTTCACTGCCTTTCATATCCCCCTCCTATGTATTATTTAGCTTAGCTCCTTTATTTCAAAATAAAGGAGTCTTCGACAGAAATAGTGATTATAAGACATTTGCCACAAAGAAGGGCAATTGTGTGTCAAGCTTCTCAAGGACAGCCCTGGACCTGTGCTTTTATTTTGTATGCCATCCTTCCCCGACTGTCCTTCGTTTCTACATGGACTGTGACCCCTCCCATTAACCTGTTGTTTTTCATTTCCTAATATCAATTAGCCAGCCTCATCTTACCCCGGGGCAGGGTGACAGTCTAGTTTGCCTGGTGACTTCACATAGCTAATCTTAGCTGCTGTAATTTTATTTGGCAAACTCTGAGTAAAGCTAGAAATTGGTATGGTTTCTACCTTGCAGACACAAAGTATTACGTACAATAAACCTGGGGTTTATGGCCAGAAAAGAAGAATTATTTTTAATCATACAAACCAAATGCAGGCTAATACTGAGTTCCTTGTTGATTTCTCACTTTATTTTTTCTGTTAAATAGACTACAAGCCAGCA